TTGTAGTTCTTATTACCACACATTTAGTAAACTACACATATACAAAACTGAAACGGAACACGTGTACATTACCACACATAAACGAAACTGAAAAGTACATTTAACCGAATAAATGTTTGCTATGCTATGTTATCATGATCAGATTTACAAAATTTACCTCATTTGCCGAATTTTATCACTTATTGTAAAACCATATTTTATTGTTAATTTTGCCAAAATCATTACCTAAGCGATTCGGTAAGAATTGTTGAGCTTCGACGTGTTCCCATATAGTCGAGAAAATTTTCAATGCTAAAACTGCTGCGAAGAAGAAATCTGAGAAAAATTTGTTTTTAAATTACGATTTAAATCAATGAAATTTCTTATGTCTGCAAAATATTTAAATATCTGAATTAATAAACATTTAAAGAATAAATTATTAAAATCAATAATATAAAATGTATATAACCATTAAAATTAGGTTTGCAAATAGTTTTGCAATTTATGTTAACACATGTGATTCATGTAATTAGTTTTGGAGAAGTCAACAAAATTATAAATTGAAAATTAAATGCACAAAATAGGACATTTTAATCTCATTATTTACAAAAACTAATGTTGCAATAAGCTAGAAAAGACTGCTTTCAAAACTGCTTATGAATTCTGGCTTTTAAAGGATTTCAGGGGAAGAAGTTTTCATTTCTTCTTCGGCAATTTAATCATTAATTAAATAACATTCCTTGAACAATGGATCTCACGAACAATGAGAACAACAATTTACTATTAAAAAATCCCATCATTATTTTAAAAGTTATTCATGGCAAGTTTAATTTTTCGCAACTGTAGAGCAATTGTTGAGCGCAAATATATAAATTGTTTATTTTTAAAAATAAAACTTTACTTGAAATATACTAAGTGTTCCATATGGGTTTAATTTTCATAAATGAAACTACTTTTCAAAAAGTGTGATAAATTCAACACTTATTTTTAAGTGTTTTTCTATAATTAGTTTATAACTATTTTTCATTTTAGTGTAAGAATAATAGTTAAAATTTTCAGAACAATCCAGTATAATGTGTTACATATGTAAGATGTTTTTACCCACAAATATTATATGTATTAAGGATGTAAATTAGTTTTGGGAAATCATCACTAACACTTCATAAATCAATATCATGTGCACAAAAATTTTCTGTTCCTTAAACATTTTAAGGCTTGGAATTGAGTAAGTAAGTTTTCCAAAATTCTGAATGCAACCAAATATTTAAGTGATAATTTACTATTTGAATTTCAAAGTTTTTACAGCACTTCTTATTCGTGTTGTCTATAAAACCTTATGAATATGAAAAATGAATATAAAGGTCTCATAAAGGAAAATTAATATCAAGGAATATATATGAATGTAAGTGAAAAATAATATAAAGATTTTCAAATTGAAAAGCATGTTTATTTGATTAGCATACACATTAGTCACACAAATCGTTCGGGAATGAATGTACCATGAAGTTACAAAAGGAATATACACAGATAAACAATTAAATAGGAAATCAGCATTTTATATTACTCCACAGTATCCGTAAATAGATAAATTTATAAAATGTCTTGAAGAAAAACTCTTTATGTTATAATTAATATAAAATGAAGTCAAAGTGTTATAATTTTACCGATAACTATACTAAACGTCATAATACTAGAGCTACAAAAACTGCATGTTGAAAAAAATATTGTTTTAAAATTACTATATTGTATGGTAATGAGATTTCTGTTAAAAGAAAACCATAATTCTAGCAAAAAATATTCTATAAATATAAATATTCTATATAACTATTTCCAAAATTGATAGATTTTCTCATTCAAATATCATTCTACTACAAATTATATATCCTCTCTACTTCCAGTGAAAACTTTTCTGCATAAATTATAAAATCTCTTATCATAATGCATTATTTTGAATACATGCATAATTTTATCACTAAATAAAATTCAAAATCTTTTAATTCACGTAAATAACTATAACTGTACACGTAGTAAAAAATTTTGGTAAAATTTTAGTCTAGTATGGTAATGATATTTCTGGCAAAATAATACAGTATTTAAACCATTACAGTATTCTACAGTATTTAAGAATACAGTATTTAAACCGAAATATACAGTATTTAAACCATTCATTTGGTAAATTTTCCTTTTATATGGTAACGATTTACCATGAATTCTAGTTTTCAAAATTATGGTTCTTCTTATTGCAGATTTAGTAAAAATTACAAAATTTAGAAGTAAATTTAACCGAATAAACGGTTTTTATGACATGCATCTAAGATATTATAATAAAATTACCAAATTTTAGTACATTAACTACCAAATAACATAGAAATAAACCATATTTTTTATTTGTTTTATAAAAATTACTACCAAATTGCTTCGGTGAAATTTATTGAGCATGTTGGTGTTACTATAGAGCCGGAAACAAGATAAATTTTATCATATTTCGGAAGTTTTGAACATATTTTTCTCTCAGTGTGAAAAAAACAATGTACCTCAAAACAGGCTTGTCAATTTTGTGCAGATATGCTTTATAAAAAACAATCATTATTATTATTTTTAAAAGCTTACTCTCAAGTGTTGATTTGTAGTTCATAAGCCATTTAAAAAACGTGTAAGAAATCATCGGATGAAACGTATAAACAAGTTGCATCGGTGGTAAAACCATGTTTTATCTATTAACTTGAGTAAAAATACTATTCTAATGACTATATAAGTTTATTTATTCTTTATATTTCTTTTTTAACCTAAAAATAATGATACATAAAATCTGTTTAACTGTAGGAAAAAAGAAGCAAAAATTCCACAAGCTTTAAATCATTATTTTACTCTTCTTTTTTTAAAGTATATTTATAGAAAATAAATCAAAGTGATTTCAATGGAACAAGTGATATATTAACCCTGGCCAGAAGCCAACATATTTTTTAATAAGCCTTCGAATAAAAAATGTAATCAATCAAAAAAAGACGCTGAAATACAACTTGATAAATTTGTTTTAGCTAGTTTCGATAAAAGTAACAAAAACTATATCAGATTATATAAAGAACAAAGATGTATCACACTGAAAAATTGAATTTGCATTTTTCTTAATTTTCTTTTTTAAGACTTCTTTCGAGTACAAAGAAAAACAAATGCTACTATGTAAAATTTTGGTCTCAATTTTTCTGCAACATCTAGCATTTATTTAAAGAAACGTAACCAGCTCGAGAAGTAATTTCCGGCTTATCTCATTTTTATAGTGTTTTAGCATAAAAGTAGAATATTAGTTAAAAATATTTTATGTAATAAAATGAATAATTTTAAAAAAATAAAGAATGTATAAAATGTTAAAATTGAAATTTTAAACAGGATTATTCTCTTAAAACCATACCACAAGGAATTGCAACATATTATATAAGTCTATTATACTTTTATCTTATAATAGGGCTTATTATGAAAGTCTTAAAATTACAAAATGAATAGTAAAAGGAATGATACATTCTAAAGAATAGTCTGGTAAAAAGTGGCTATCTCTTATCGATATTATCTCTTCTAAAGAAGGAGATGGCTAAATGAGATTTGCTGATGATGAGATGGCCAAATACGATGAGTTGATGTTGAGATGACCGAATTTATAGCATCACTCCCTAATAATATTCCTCTGCTTTTTGCTTAGAAGCAAAGATTGGACTTTTTATGTGCTTAAAGGTCCAGCTAGTTGAACAAAAATAACCAACTCATTGAAAAACAACCGAATACTTTACTCACAAAAACATTTGACCCGTAAATAGGATTAAAATTTCACTTAGTTTTTGTTACCACAAAAGCAGTGCTTTGTTCAAGCTGTTAATTAAGTTGAACAGCTTTTAGCGAAGCTGGATTTGCTGCAATATATTAAAAAATATCGGAGGTATTTTAACTGGCCATATCTTCTCTATGGCCATTTGACCGAGACTTACCCTATAATTTTGAAAACCAAAATTTCTGACAAGAATAGAAATCAGACGAAAAATTATCAAATCAACGATTTAAATGCTGTATATTTCAGTTTGATTTTTAAGTTTATATTTACCTTTTTTTATCATAAATGTGTTTTATTTAACCGTACAAATATATATGCTTTCTTTCTGATTGAGAATCATGCTGATATGTTCTTAAGTGTTACTAAAAATAAAATTATTTAGCTAATATTTCACTATTACTAGAATTTTTTTTCTTTCAAAAATTCAAAAATCGAAAAATTTGGCAACTATCGATTGTTGATACTTCACAACAAAAAGAATTTAGGAAAATACCGGGAAGCTAATGCGTCTAATAAATCTCTGAAACATTTCTGATGATAAACCTAAAAGCCTTTTAAAAATTCAGAAACCTTGCCAATGAAAGTTCTAAAATTAGCCTGGAACCTTTCTGAAAAATTAAGAAGCCTTCCGCGCTTAAGTCAGAAATGTTCTTAGCTTAAATTAGAAACTTGGAGTGCCGGCCAGGTGACCGAGCGGTTAGCGTGCCTGACTGTGAAGCCATAGGCTGCGGGTTCGAATCCCGCTATGGGCATGGATGTTTCCCTCTCTAAATACACAAGAGGCGACCTTTGTGCAAAAATACAAACTAAGGTAGACAACGTTAAAGAGCACAAAAATATAATTAAAAGCAGACAGCTGTTTCGGATGCTCAAAAGGCAACCTTCATCAGTGCATCAGAAAGAAATGCGTTTGCGTTTATTATCAAAAAATTGGGTGCCTGGGCCGTGCAAAGAAAGAAATGAGAACTTGAACTGAGTTAATTTACGCAGTACCTGTCTCATCATTCACTGCTTCATCTAAGATATTGCCCGTGGGCGCCTAAAATAATGTCTTTAGAAAAAAGATGTTGAAGTCGTCTGGAGGGAGTAGTGGGCCTGGTGGATTGTAGTGGTGTCATTAAGGCTTGTTTTCTGGTAAAAGGGAACGAAGAAGCTGAACCAGCTCCTCGTTTTTAAGGAGTTCTTGCATCTCTCGGAAGATATGAAGAAATCTGGTGGCAGTATGGGTAGCACTCCTGTGCTCTCTGTTCTTTTGTTGTGGNGCTCAAAGGGCAACCTTCATCAGTGCATCAGAAAGAAATGCGTTTGCGTTTATTATCAAAAAATTGGGTGCCTGGGCCGCGCAAAGAAAGAAATGAGAGAAAAATAGGGTAAATATATAGAAAAAGGTGACGTCACAAGGGGATTAGAGCAGCGACCAATAGGAGGGAAGGGTGAAAGGATGACGACGAATGGGAAGCAAGGAACAAAAAGGTGGGGGGGGGGGTTAGTTAGGTTTAATCATAGATTTCCAAACAGGAGGAAGATAAGGAGCGCTGGATAGGTCATTGACCAACAGTTTGGAATTTTTGAAAATCTCATAGGACTCATAAAAATCTAAATCAAAAATTGAAGAACAATTTTGAATAACTTTAGAGGAAGAAAAATCAAAATTATGATTAGATTCCCAACAATGTTGGGCAATAGATGAGAGTTTAAATTCTTGTTTTTTGACATAGGCTTCATGTTCCTTGACACGGCACTTTAAGGCACGCTTAGTTTGGCTAATATATGACAGGCCGCATTGGCAATTAATTTGGTATATACCCCAGCTACTTTGACTGTCATTGGGCTGCTTGAGATTAGAAAATTTTATCTTATTAATGGGACTGAAAATAATATTAAAATCAAACTTCCTTAGGATATTAGCAACTTGACGACTTATTTTAGGAAAATAGGGTAAAATGACTAAATTGTTAGAAAATTCTTTGGAAGGTTTATCGGCATGTGATTGTTTAGTTAAGTTTTTATAAATATTATCAATAATGTTAGGAGAATAACCTCTGTCATGAGCAATGGCTTTGATGTAATTTAATTCTGTATCAAGAAGATCATCGTTAGAACAAATATTTACCGCATGGTAGACAAAATACCGAAAAGATGCAAGTTTTTGGTTGGGAGGGTGGGAGGATTTGTAGTGAGGGAGAAGAGAAACAACAAAAGGTTTACGAAAGACAGTAGTATGGAATGAATTATCATTCCGATTCACAGAACATCTAAGAAAGAAACTTTTTGATCAGAGATTTTGGTTGCCCTATTCCAAGACGATTTTTCCATTGCGTCAAAATTTGAATTTAGATTAGGCACTCTGATGTGTAAATGGTACAATTCGCGTTCAATACTGGATAGTTTATTCCTAGTTTCATTAATGACGGCTCTAAGGAGAGGAAGAATCTTGTGAATTCTTCACAAGACTCAAATTTTGACGCAATGGAAAAATCGTCTTGGAATAGGGCAACCAAAATCTCTTCAAAACATAGCTTAAACCTGAATAATAAGTTGAATAAACTCATCAAAGTTAATGATAAAAACCTGGCGTTAGTTTGCCTGTTGTTAATCAAAATTCTGTAGTTAATCTCTCAAATATCACTCTTACTGATGTTCAAATTAATGCTTTAAAACTTAACAATAATTTTGCTATTTCAACTCGACCTTCATTACCTAAACTCATTGCTCCTATCGAAAAATCTTTTAAATTCAGTAAAATTAATGATGCTCAAAAAGATTCTATCAGACACTTTATTGCCAATACCGTAGACTTCAACTCAAAAATATCTAATTCAAACCTTAGCATTTCCTCTAAAGTAATTCTTAAAGATATAAAGTCCAATCCCAACTTAATCGTTACCAAAGCTGACAAAGGTGGTCAAATTGTTCTTCTAAACGAAATAGACTATTTGGAGAAATCTAAACAACTTATTCTTGATGGTCCTTATAAAGAAATTCCCAAAGATCCGAGCACTAAAGAATTAAATGTTATAAAATCAACTATTAAATCCTCTATGTTAATTCCCAATAGACTTAAGGTTGTTTTGACTCCCTCTGTTTCTCATTGCGCTAGATTTTATACTTTACCTAAGTTACATAAAGTTGGCACTCCTTTTAGACCAATTGTCTCCAACATTGGTACCTCGTCTTACAAACTCGCAAAATTTTTAGTTTTTGTCTTCTCCCCTCTTCTTGGTAATAATTCTTTTACTACCAAAAATTCCCTTGAGTTTGTTAAAGAAGTTAAAAATCTAAAACCTAATGGTTATTTGATGGCCTCATTTGATGTAAAATCACTGTTCACTAATGTTCCTGTTGAGGGGACTTTGGAATGCCTAAGACTTAGACTTTCGGAATATCATTTTTCCC